GCGAAAGTGACGATATTAGAGGAAATCAACTCTGTACGTAACTCATACGATTCTGCATGAGCGCACATGTGTGTGTGTTTGTGTGTGTGTGTGTGTAGCTTCTTACTCATAGCAAGTCCAATTTTATGTTCTTTATTTTGTATGAACAGGCAGTCATCTGGAGGATGGCCAGGCGTTATATGCATCTCCAGAGAACCTGTTTTCATTTAAAGGTAACTTACTTGCAGATGTGTTGGGCTGAATCATTAGTCCAGTCCCTGAATGCTTTCATTGGCTCATTTTGCTACAGCAGATACAGCCAATCCAGTGCTGTCATCCCTTGAGACTTAAAGGGCCACTATGAAGCTCACACCTGGAAACATCAAGGGAAAATGAAGAATCTGCCTGCCTGGTATACAGGGTGAATATTGAACTGGGACATTTTGTACTGTATATATTTATATCTAGTATGGCAACAAATCGATTAAAAACTAATTTCAGTTTTCTGTGATTAATTGCAATTACTCACGCCTAATATCCTTATAATTATATGCTTCCAATTTACAGCTTAAGTATTTACAAATTGAATCCCCAAACTAATATAGAATTAAGGAAAAGAACAGTACATGGCTCATTCCCACATGATTTTTCTATAATTTACAATATTATTTTGAAGGCAGACTCAAATTATACAGCTTCATTGTTTCACCTGTTTGAATCTGGGGTCGTCAGTGTCACGCCTACGGAGGCGGGTCAACCAGGTGTCGGGGATTAGGGACTAATTATCTCCCTTATTTAAGGAAGGAACAGTACACAAGCCAACTGCGAAGTATTGCGCTTATGACAAGCCTTACCGAGCATTCTTCTGTCTCCAGTTCTCCTTTACTCCTGTTCCTTGCCTGTTTACCTATTGTGAAACCCTTACCTCTTATCCCTTGCCTCCTCAGTCCCGTTCCCGTCCTTGACCTGAGTGCCCGGCTTTCCGCCTGTATTAAGAGAACTCTGGTCTGTAACTGCTTGATCTGTGCTCTATTAAAACCGGCTTTCCCCGTACTTCTGGATCCGTGTTTCCCTCGCCAGCTCGGTGTGACAGTCAGTCACTTATATTACTTTTATTTCTGTAATAAAAAGAAATATTTCATCAAATCCAGGGTGAGATTTACGGAAATGGACTAACCAAACCAAAACTTGAGCAAATATATGCATCTTATCATACAGATTGATTGTTTATTGTGGGTGACAAGCAATAAAGTTGAAAGATTTTAAAAATATTTGATCTAGTTTGATTAAATTATTATTTAAAAAAAAAAAAACATTAAATCAAAGCCGTTCTTCTGTACCACATTTTCTCCCGTCCTGTTTTTTCGGCTTAAGAGGCTGCTGTAGTCAGTAGCATATTTCGGACCAGAAACCCAATTTGGACAATGCTTGTGCAAGAACACTTTTACACATTTGATTATGACACTCCATCAAGTCAAATAACACAAAACTGGAAAAAAAAATCATTTAATGACAGAATGAAGTGCTATGCCTGTATTGCTCATTGCGAGTGTATTTCTACACTCAGTGGAAGCAGAGCAGTGGCCAAGAAGCCAGGCAGCATAATTCCACATGCAAACGAGAGATACTCACTGGCTTAGGCACAAAAGGGGGGTTAGTGACCCCAAACACACACACACACAGAAAACAAGGGAGGCCAGTACTCCAGCTTTTATTGCCCAAAGATTTAGGGACCTACAGACAGCAGAGTGGACCTAATGGACAGGGGTCCCTCGGCTTGGCACACAACCCCCTCCCCCGACATCCTGCCTTACATACCACTCACCGAACAGACCAACACCCTAAAGGAAGTTTCTTCTAAGTCGGCTTTTGTATATCCTGTATATTGATTTACTCACGACTACTAGTCTCAATATACAGATAGGTTATGTTTGTATGTGTCCTTAGACAATCTTAGTGTTTTCTGCGCCACCCTTATAACCATGTTCACGGAGTATCACCTATTTTACCCCTCACACTTAAATACTTATATAAATTTGAATAAACAAATATGTTAGCTACCACTGCATGTACTGTATGTCCTCATGGTTATACCAGAAGAATCTTGAAAAATAAATAGTGTCACCAGGTATCTCAGTGTGTCCTAACTTTCAGAGATTCTTCTTTCTTTGTTTAACAAACCCCCCCTTCTCTTCAACATTCCTCTGTGGCCCTTTTCTGATCTTTGTAGCCTGTTAGCATTTCTTTACGTGCTACTCTGCATTAAAAGAACTGAATTAAGGTGTAAATTATCCAATCTGGGGAGAAGATCAATGGGGATAAGCCACACCAACCAAAATATGTTGTTCCCAGATATGCAATTTAAATTGCCATTACCACAAACTAACGGCCACGTCTATCTAAGGGTAGGATGTGCTGTTTGAATGTGAATATGTAATGTAATGTCTGTACAATTTACCCAAAGTGTAACATCTGTTGAGGTGCAACCCAAAACACCTATACCGTATACTGATGTGAGTCAGTAACATCCATAATATAAGCAATTGTTAATTAATTAATACAGATGGTATGAGGTGGGAACCGCTAGGCTGGTATGGCATGTTTGGTATCAAACTGATGGAAAATCACTCCTGATTCCAAATCTGGTCAGTGGTTACCATGGAAGTGTATTTATCAGAAGTTACACAAGCCTAATGAAAATCATCAGTAAAGGGGAATCAGTCTGGTCATAAATCCCTAAAGGACTGCCACAGACACCCCTCTGAAAGCCTGCCAAATGGATGGTCAGCCATTGGTTCAGGTTTCAAATTCCTGGTCATCTCTATTCATGAACTTTAGACTATAGTTAGGAATAAATGCATGTCTTTTGCACAGCTTCAGCCTCCGTTCATTGAGTGCTCACAATAGTCCCTGCCTCTGTGCGATCTGGCTACGAAGCTCTGGAACCTCAAACTCGCCTGAAATATCGTGGGACTCTCTCTCAACGGCCGTGAGAGGAGCTTCTCTACCGATCGTTTACATTACCTGGTGATGCAGCCAGGGCTGTGGAGTCGGAGTCGAGGAGTCGGAGTCGGAGACAATTTTGGGTACCTGGAGTCAGAGTCGGAGTCGGCAAAAAGTTAACCGACTCTGACTCCGACTCCTACTAAATTTAAATGGGAATTAAAAAAGTAAGTTGAAATGTCCCAATTCACAAACAGTCATAATGAACTACTTCTCTGCTGTAAGAATAAAGCCCAATGCATGCAGT